ATAATGGAGGAGGGTTGGGCATGGGGTGAGCGACCCCATCCCATAGAAAACTAACTCTCTAAAAAACGCTGTTTGTTAGAACTGCGCCAATTTTCAGTAAGTTCTTAGTTTTTCTGATATAATTTTTTAGACTTGGAAGTAGTCTTTTAGTATTTTTGTCAGTTTGTATTTTACTAGAATGGGTTTTGTGGAGAATTGGTAATTTCAATAGTTGAAATCATGAATCAATTGAAGCTAGACCACCATGGAAAACCTGGAAGCACTGGACGGCCGTTTCGTCCTAGTATGGGACTGCTCAACAGTGCGCATCCACGATCCCGCACCCCGCGGGATTCGAACCCAGGACCTATCAGTCTCGCGCCAGGCGCTTAACCAACTAGACCACTGAGCCGGCATCCAACGGTGTTAATGTCTAACTTCAACTAATCCACGAAGTTGCGCCACCGTCACCATTGTCTTCAGTGAGCTGATATCTCACAACAGACCTGGTTGAACTCCACTGGTCACGGCTTCTCACTAGAACTCCAGGAGTATCTCTTGAAGTCAGTCACTAGTGAGCAGATGATTATTACTAGAATGGGTTTTGTGGAGAATTGGTAATTTCAATAGTTGAAATCATGAATCAATTGAAGCTAGAGCAGCATGGAAAACCTGGAAGCACTGGACGGCCGTTTCGTCCTAGTATGGGACTGCTCAACAGTGCGCATCCACGATCCCGCACCCCGCGGGATTCGAACCCAGGACCTATCAGTCTCGCGCCAGGCGCTTAACCAACTAGACCACTGAGCCGGCATCCAACGGTGTTAATGTCTAACTTCAACTAATCCACGAAGTTGCGCCACCGTCACCATTGTCTTCAGTGAGCTGATATCTCACAACAGACCTGGTTGAACTCCACTGGTCACGGCTTCTCACTAGAACTCCAGGAGTATCTCTTGAAGTCAGTCACTAGTGAGCAGATGATTATTACTAGAATGGGTTTTGTGGAGAATTGGTAATTTCAATAGTTGAAATCATGAATCAATTGAAGCTAGAGCAGCATGGAAAACCTGGAAGCACTGGACGGCCGTTTCGTCCTAGTATGGGACTGCTCAACAGTGCGCATCCACGATCCCGCACCCCGCGGGATTCGAACCCAGGACCTATCAGTCTCGCGCCAGGCGCTTAACCAACTAGACCACTGAGCCGGCATCCAACGGTGTTAATGTCTAACTTCAACTAATCCACGAAGTTGCGCCACCGTCACCATTGTCTTCAGTGAGCTGATATCTCACAACAGACCTGGTTGAACTCCACTGGTCACGGCTTCTCACTAGAACTCCAGGAGTATCTCTTGAAGTCAGTCACTAGTGAGCAGATGACAGTATTCAGTCTATGCCTATTTTTATCATCCTTTCACCCTTGAATTATTGGTTAAGAATAGTTTTTATACTTTTGATTTTAAGCACTGGGATATTTCTCACTAATTAATTATGATGTCATTTGTAATTATTTTAATCCTGCCTAAAAGATTGCTCTGGAAAAATACCGATGGATTTACAATATACCCATAATTTGTTTCTTGAGTCCATCATTTTGTAGTTTCGATTAATTACTGTTTATCATAACCATCATCTTTTTTTCAATAGACTGACTTTGTTAACCAAATAGTTTGAACTAAGTATTCTGTCTAACTCTTTACTTCTGAATTTTATAGTATGTTATTAATTTCTTTCGGTGGTGGAAGCTGTAACGCAATATAATAATCGAGCCAATCATTTACTCTAAATAATTAAGACAAAGGACTGTGCTTGATATTGTTTTTGTTTTTCATTTGTTTGAATCTTCCCATTGATGTTTAGGACTGAAATTGTTCAGTCTCTTATTGGCATATGTGCATACTGTGCGTATGCCTCGATATTGCCTTAATTTACAAGCATTATAAGCAAAGGTGGATGATAGTGGCTAGCAGTGGAATCCAGGACGCGCGTTTCGTCCTATTTGGGACTCGTCAGCTGGATGTACCTGCATCTCAGAGTTGATGTTCACAAAAACAATATCAAGTGAATTAAACTTCACCCCATTGCACAAGCAAGTGGCTATCAGGACTCAGTAGCTAAGTGGATAACGCGATGGCGTTTGAAGCGGACGGTACTGGGTTCGAGTCCCGGAGTGAACATCAACTCTGAGATGCAGGTACATCCAGCTGACGAGTCCCAAATAGGACGAAACGCGCGTCCTGGATTCCACTGCTAGCCACTATCATCCACCTTTGCTTATAAAGGACTGTGCTGTTTCGTACCCCTTTCTCACCGGGTGTCCCAACACAACAATTCTAAGTATGAATATTCATCATATGAATATAAAACGATGTTTTAAATCTTTTAATTCGTCAAACTTTGTTCAACTTAATTTATGAATCTAATAAACGATTTTCATGTATCTGATGAATAGATTACGTTGGATATAACTTCTCATGGTGTTTTGATCAAAAGTATTCATATTAAATTTTACGTTTTAAGAAATACAATTTTAATGTTGAGTTGGGATTCAATAATCACTTGTATAGATAAAATTTAGACTGTCAACTAAGTCACTATTCGTATGTTCCAAGATATATTGTATCATGACAAGCTTAAACGGAGAGTTACATTAAAAATCTGATATCTTCCACGTACATCAGTGATAAACGAACCAAATACTTATTATTTATGCCGAAAACAATGAATTTTGATATATATAATTTGAGATTTTAGTAGTTTTTATTAGTCAGTTAATTCCAGGAAATATAATTTTAGTTTTCTTTCTACTCTGTTTACTTAAATGCTAGCTATTGTCGTAGTATTTAAGAATATAGATTAATGTACTGCGCCTTTAGGTACCTTTATAATGTGGAGGATAAAGATACTACAAAGCTATTATTTCTTATCTCAATCGCTTTCCATTTTCTATTTGGAAAATTACCTTATTCTTTATATACCGTTAATAATTCCTCCTTCTAACAGCGAGGTGGTTTCTTTGTTGTTATTTAGTCCTTTTATTCGATTGACATAGAGCTTCAAGATCGCTGTTTCGTACTGAGGGCAAGAATAAACTATCAAGATATGCAAATAATTTGAAGTAAATACATAAATTTTGGAACTGTTTATTGAGCAGTTTCTAATCTCGCTTTTTCATCGTCATCAATCAGGCCGATAGCAAAATAATTCGACAAAACAGCCGACGGGTTGAGCTATCATTATATTTTGTTTCGAAGTCGCAGTTATACGGTTGAAACGAAACACTGTCAAATATTTGATTTGGAACTTCACTGAATCGATTTAAATACATAGTGAATTAAACAAAGTAGTATACTCTCACTACGTACACTGCGTTAGTAAGGGGAGTTCGAACACAGCAGTCTTAAGTGTTTATTTATTTCATAAAATTCCGGTACTTGCATCGGAACTCCTTGTTTATTACTATCGTCTGAAATCTAATATTACGATTTAGCCGTAGTACTGACTCCAAAACCCTTAATCTCATCAGAAAGCATGTATAAGACGTTTTGGACGGAATTATACAGTTAATCAAGATTTGCTTTTCTAATGTTGAGGAACTTTTACCAACCGAACTATGGCATTTCTTGATTACCTACGATACTTCAGAGTAATTTGCTACAACAAAAAAACCGTGAAAATTTCTATAATTCTTAAAATTACGGTCAGGAAGTATTGATTAGATTTTTTCTAGTATTTGCTTTAGCCATCATTAAAGGTTAAGGTAGAAAACTGTTCCACTTATCTGTTCTTAATCAATATGTAATTTTGACTACGAGGAAAAGCAGTACATTTGGTATACATGTTTAGGGAATTGAACTGATCATCACACTCTCAGAACGATAAAATCAATAATTGTGAGTTAATGACCTTTCTCGGAAAAAACAGAGCTGGTGGTAACAAATAAAATTCAGTATCGATTGAGTAGAACATTTTCGTCTATATTCTGAAACATACAAACAACACACATGCTTTTAAGCTGAAAACCCCGATTAGTTCCAGGTCAAAACAACTAATTCCAATAGCTACCAATAAGGTGCCGAACACTTAAATTACATTGAATTAACAATGTGAATTTTCTATATGATTTGACTTGAAATATATAAGAAAGAAGAGTATTAGAGAGAACGATCGTCTTTGATAACTTTATCAGGCTCAATAATTATAATTCAAAAATTATCACTATTGTTAGTGTCATAATGAACAAGACATTAAAGTTAAGTATATATCCATGTGATATAATGAAAATGGTAAAACTTCACCTCGATTGAGCATTAAAAATTACAAATTAAAATTTATATACGAAATAAACCTATTTGTTGAAAATGCTGATAGTTAACTCTACTAAATACCTTGTCTAAAATCTTGATAATCGGAAAGCTAAGTGTAAAATAATGCTACAGAACTATTATTTATTTAAATATTGTCAAGTAACAAGTGAAAAACTAAATATTGTAAACTCTGATATCAGATGAAATGAATACTGTTGCAAAATCCCCAACATTTAATGTAACCAGTCAGGCTCCATGAATTAACGAAAAATAAAACAATTTATGAGACTGTAAAGAGATAAACGAAACATGATGAGGCCAAAAATTTCTACCTTAACACATAAGACAGTTCTATTACTGATAATTATAAACTATAAAACTAAAATGCAAACTATTCCCCAAAATAAGAAATACACTGTCAACAAAGAACAGACGTTAAATCATGCTCCTATTCTACAATGTCTTTATGATGAACTTATGAGTGTAGTAAAACAGTCTAATATAGAGACTTCACAGCAGATAACATCAAATAATACCAAGATATCCATGTAAAAATAATGTAATTGCACTTTGTAACTAAGATACAATTTATAAATTAAAGTCAAAATGGAGACAAAATGAAGCAAATCACTACATACAATTTAAGTAAAAAAACAAGTCAATGAATATTGTTGTAATTAAATTAAGTATTGTATAGTGATGAAAATCTTTTTTATTGCAGTGCTAAAGCCATACAAGTACGGCTTGGTAGATATAGAAAAACACAATTTCGACGATTATCCCATGGTTCGTTGCGGGTGAATACATCAACAGATTGGTCGATTCGTTTAAAGCCACCAAATTCCTCTTGGTCGGAATCCAAAACAATATGATACCTTGAAAGCAGGAATGAAAACACAATTTTCTAAAATAATACCAACGCACAGGTAAAATCACTTTGGATTGAAAATACACTATTATTCATCAACCATAGTATAAATATAGCGAGAGATCCTGAATACTTAATAAAAATTTGAAATGAAACTTACTTTCCAGGTGCATCGACTCCAATTTTGTAATCCGTAAAACTCTGAGTAGGATGAAAATTAAAGACAAACAAAACTCCAGCACGTTCAAACGCAATAACTTTATCGCCTTCATTCTTTCTACTAACATAGGCCTGATTGGAAAAATAAAAGCCAGAAAATAAATACGATGACTGGATAGATAAATTATGCGTAACAATAACATAAAAACGAACCCAGTTCAATCATCATACAGTCACATGTACTAAGATGTGTGACAGACAACAATACTGTTTTACTTTCAAAAACAAATAATATCGGTTTAAACCCATAAAATTCGAGTACGCAGACTTTTGAAGCAAACTACATATAAATCATAGAACGATAAATTTGGTAAACGATGGCCATACTTATATATTGAGATTTATATAGTCTTACTTAGTCAGTCAAAAGCAACATAGAACGTGGCATAAGTATAAATCGGTTTCAGTTACCATACTCTATAAGTAAAGCGAAATGGTGAAAAGAGTCTATTGAAACGAACATATCTTGTCTCTATAAACAATGAATTACGTTAAACAATTTAAAAGGACTGCATTTGTCTATGAACCATATATATTAGTTAAAGAACACAAACTTTTCATCGGTCAGCATGTGAAGGTCGTAAATTTAGGTAATAGTAATACAGTGAACTAATAAGATCAGTAAAACGTGTGGTGATGGCGAAGATGGATCCACTCTTTGTTTTCCTTTAAATTTTGAACGTCGAAATTATTTTGTACTTTTTATTCAGAGAACTAATTCTTTCTTTTCGAACAATATTCTCTTTGCTAAATGCTTCTTACTGCCACTGATACTACTATCACGTCTATTGCTTGATCTTGGTAATTTCATCTTACTATGTTGTGGTGATCTAGCAACCTGAAGTGATGGAGATATATACCCAGCTCTGTGATGCTTATGGTTAGTTATGATAAAGAAGCAGCTGGTAAACTAGGTCTACAGTTTACTTGGAAATCTTTCAAAAAAACTTTTTATAAAATGAGATGACGATTCAACTTAGTAACAAAGTACAGGTTTATGTACTACGTTTCGAGCGACAATTTATGGCCAAACTTAATGTTATTCGGTTGTCTAGTCTGAAGTAGATAGAACATAGTGCTTGAAGTCACTAACTTCTGGTCTGAACCATGTTGGTAGATGCAGACTACTTGGTTGAGGTCCGCGTGATTATCGTAACCAATGGTTGGAGACTCATGGTGACATGGCTCAGAATCGATCACAATGGCGTAGGTGTATACACTCTCTGTCTTCCCTTAAACTAAGAGGTTAAAATCGCTTCATATCTTTCTTTTCGCGAAGTAATTCTTTCTTCCTGTACTATGTCCTTATATGCAATCTTTCTTTTATATATTACCACCACTGAATTAACTAGTTCTATGAATCCGGTGTTCATCTTGTGCTAATGCGGTATGGCAACTTGGATTGATGCATATGTACCTGGTCCTACGTTGTAGCTGACTGACTGAGAATAGATACCCAGATGGTTGGAAGCTGAGTTCTTTAACTAATGACCTGGTGTTTTAGTAATTGCATGAGCGTTCACTGACCTAACTGTGAGACATTTATTAAATGAGCTATTAATATTTCATAACTTTATAGACTAAACTAGTGATCCATTGGTTCGGTGCGAAGTTGCAATCAGAACAAAAAAACAAAAATTAGTGACATAAAATTCGTTTGTTGAATAATAATAATAATAATAATAATAATAATAATAATAATAATAATAATATACCAAACATAAACATTTATAACGTGCCTGTGGAGCTGCAAGCCAACCATATTTCTCTTCTAAATGTTGCATAGCTCTATCAAAATTGTTTAGATATTTATAACGTAACAATGGATCATCCACCAAGTTCCACTGACGGCGAGCATAGTGATAGGAACTATTATTCCCAGCTCTTGGGAAATCCAACCATTCAGGATGACCAAATTCATTACCTATAAACCAAATCAAATGGACGCTATATTAATTAAAGCTGTACACGAGATATGTAATAAATGAAACTAAGAAAGTATTTTAGAAGCGAACCCTTTCATTTGAAAGTTTCAAACAGTTTGACAAGTGTCGTAAAGTAGATTCCTGAATATATTGTTTGAGAAATAAATTTATCCGACCGATGATACGAGTAAATATATCATATACCTTATAAGGATTTTACAAATTATATACAGCTTAGTAGAAAACATCAGTACGAAAGTGAAAATCGTGGAGAAAAACTAACGACTGAAAGGTATAAAAAGAATGAAAACGTAAATTAGATGAACTAGAATGTCAAAAAACTCACATTGTAAAGCGAGATGAAGAATGTGTACCGTTTTAATTACTTACGCTTATTACCCCTCGTAAAGAAGTATAGATCGCTCACCAGCATTCTCTATCCAACTCTGTCCTGAGCAATCCTTTCTAGTTGCTATTCATCCATTTCATGTCTGCTTCCAATTCTTGGTGCAGTGTGATCTTTAGCATTCCTCTTCGCCGTTTCTCTTCTGGATTCAAGGTTTGCTCTTTCCTCGCGATGCAGTTTGACTATTCGCTCAATATATGTCCGATCCACTTCCAACGGCTGGTTTGTTCTCTCCCATAGTAGGCTGCTGCTGATGGTATCTGGCCAATTGACACGGAGTATCTTGCGTAGACAATTGTTTAGAAAAACTTGTACCTTTTAGACGATGGTTGTAGTAGTTCTCCAAGTTTCAGCTCTGTACATTAGAACTATTTTGACTTTCGTATTGAAGATACTCACTTTCGTATTGGTTAACAGTTGTCTTGAGTCCCATATATTCTTCAACTGTAGGAATGTTGCCTTCGCTTTGCCAATCCTTGCCTTCACGTCTGCATTAGTTCCTCCCTGTTCATCGATGATACTTCCCAGATACGTGGAAGATTCCCCATCAAGTGTGGTTGGGTTGGTTTTCTCCGTATTGTATTTGAGGATCTTGCTTTGTCCCTTGTGTATGTTGAGGCCTACTGATGAAGAGGCTACTGCTACACTACTTTTCTTTATCTGCATTTGTTTGTGTGCATAGGATAGAAGAGACAGATCATTTGCGAATTCCAAATCGTCTAGTTGCATCAAAGCCGTCCATCGTATTCCGTCTGTGTGTGCTGCTTCGATGTCCAGTGGATTTAAGGGAGCTGGCCTATTCAAGAGTTCGTCAGTGTTCTTCCCCTCTGTTCATGAATTCTAGTTATTAGCTTACCTTCTTTGTCCTTGACCCGTCTCTCTGGTTTACTATATTTCCCTGTAGTTTCTTCGTTGTCATATAGTTGTTTCATATTTCCTTTACCTGCAGCTTTTTCTGCTGTCACTGCTAAGAATGTATACAATCACACTATCGAAATGAACGCCAGACAGACGAAGATCTCTAACTAACAATCTTTGCTATGGCATTGGTCAGTTATACTCAAAGAAAAGCCTGGTAAAAATATGCAATAATCTAAGTTGCTATTGTATCAATAGTTAATTACACACACAGTTGAAGCAAATTAACATTGACTTCAAGTGAAATAGGAATAATATGGTTAAGCACATGGTAGGCTAGACTTCCTCTGTTTTTAATAGATAGTAAAATAAAAAATGTTCATCACATCAAATAAGTTAATTTAAGATTGGATAACAATTTATTTGGTTTATTTTAAAGATACTTCATAAGACAGATATTTAACAGTAACAAATTAAAAACTTGTATTGATGGTCTAGTTTCACTAATCAGGTATAAATACAGGAAAATTGAGATGAAATTGTGGTATGTAACCTCCTACAAAATCATATAAACACAGGTGTTATATCTACAAATTTACTTATAGGTATGATGACTGCAGGATAATTTCGATCAGGGGATTTGTGATTTTAAACACTACCCTAACACATAAAGCGATAGTGGATTAGTTTATAAACCACATTTTATTTCTTTCCGTTATTTTAGGTAAAAATCTGTAGACACTGTGACAGATCATCAGATCCCCCACTAACTGGAAAAAAGGTTTTCTTACATATACACGTGGCTCGAAATCGTTTGCAACAGTACATATTCATCCATTCTGACTTCCATTGGATCCTAAATTTCTTATAGTTTTTTCACTAATTTATATTTTCTTGAATGACATCTCCAATGGATAATATTTCCTATTACCACTATTACTGTTACTCAGTCAGTCAGTCAATGGGATTTGCCCTACAAGTTTTATCTCGCTGTGTTAATGAGACGCAACAACTTGAACCTATGTGCACACGTACTCGGTTCTACGTTGAGTTTGACTGATCGACTGACCATATATACACATCTATCATCAATACAACCACTTACCCATAAAGTTGAGATAACCTTCGCCACCTAAGGTGTGTGTTATAAAACGTATTAACTTGTGTAATGCAATACCACGGTCGATAATTAAATTTGGAGGGCTTAAAGTGCTCATACTGAAGTACATTTCTTTGTCCATAAGCCAAAAGGATAATGTCTTATCACCAACCAAAGCTTGATCATGGCATTCCGCGTATGCAATATTCAGTTCACCATAACGTCGATTAGTCAATGTATGGACGAGATTACCCATATTCCAATCTTCATCTTTATATTTCTTTAGAAGCTAAATATGAAAATAAAGATCACTAAAGCTGATTATTGATAATAAAACAAAGATTTTTAAAAAGTTAATCCAACTTAGTATGGACTTACGTACTACTCATAGTTTGAGGACTAGAGATTTTCTCACAAGGTCTAAAACGTTAATAGGATGAAGTGCAAACTTGGAAGCTACTGTTTGAAGGTCAGCTACTGAAAAGTTGAGCCACGACTTTGAACCTAAAACAAACGTCGCAGACTAATATCGATGTAGAAGAGTTATTTACGTAAGCTCTAATGAATTTGCAGAGATCTAAATTATTGGAAACCACATTTTACTATAGTGTAAATAACTGGTTTCCCAGAAGTGTCAGCTAATTCCGTCAATTACACTACTTGCCATGAAAAGATGATGCCATTTAGTATTGTAAACTACAGTATGTGAAAAATGAATGTGAACTAAATATACGATCAAATCACTGACTTATTTCAACAATTCTACAACCCTTACGTAATGTGTCTAATATGACAACTTCACATATGTACAGACACGGATAAAAAGGGACTTGTGATAGTGAGGTTAAAACTACATAAGTAAAATATTTAGTGAAATCTAAAGATAACTAGGAGGCAATATCAGGGCAAAATAGCTTATTTGTAAAGGATTTACCTCAATCCATTTATCAGGAATAGCCATAGCTAATCGATAATCGAATCCACCGCCACCTTCGGAAACTGGACGACACAGAGTAGGCATGCCGCTAACCTCCTTTCAAATAAAAATCAAATCAATTTTACATCATTATTAGATTAAATAAATAATATATGTATGTAATTATAAAACGATAGAACTTAGGTATCAAATTAAATAAAACCTCAAGTATTAATTGGAAAAGCTTTGTACAGGGAAATTTTAGTGAATACCCTAATTTTGAGTAGTAAGTTGTAATCCACCAAAATAACTGAAAGGAGTTATTGATTGAGATATCCATATAAGGTAAATATGAAAAGATGAATAATAAAAGTTAAGTATGAATTTCTTACTTCTGCAATCGTAATAATAAATGGATACTTTTCGTGTAGAAAATGGTTAGCTAACATTAAATAAGTAAATGATTCTGTGTCTACGGATAAACCAAAATATTCCCCATAATGACCGGAAAAGTTGGTCATCAAACCATGATGATGATACAGCATAGACATAACCCCATCAAAACGGAAACCATCAAAACCGTACTCTTCAATCCACCAACGTAAATTTGACATAAGGAAGCGTAGTACTTCTAACCTGTAAAAATTTAAAATGAATCAGTGAGTGCCAATTGGGTAACTTCGGAAAATGGAGAAAATTTCTTACACTCCAATCAGTAAATTGCATTTTTTTAAACAAATCCTCGAGACTTACAACATTACTAATGTCACGAAGTAATACGGCTGACGGAACGAGTCAATAAATGATTTTAAAACATTCATTCTAATTTATTTTTACTGGTAATAGCTGATTTGTCGTAGCTAAACCGCTAATGTATGGAATGTGTATCAAAACCAATATGTAAGGGTGTTAAATGCATCTACATTAAGCTATCATGCATTAAAAGGTAGTAAATAACATGCAAGCAGAAAGTCACAAAAAAGCTTTTATAGACTAATACCTCACAAATCACCCGATAACATGATTTAGATGTTCTTTAGGAAACAGCCTATACAGAAACGGACGTTATTATTTGTGGTACAGATAAAATTTTATTCGACAACCAAATCAACGACAAGTAAAAAACAATAAACGTGACTATCAAATACTCAAAACTGAGTCTTATACATAAAATTTCAAATGATTAAAATATGCACAAAACCAAAAGACATGGAAACATTACTCTGTATAATTGAATAGACGAGAATCCCATAATTCATGAGTTCCACGGCCTAGATCATGGAAATAACAAGCATTTGTGCCATCAAACTGGTTGAGACCATCATTTGTATTCTTAGAAGCATGACTATGAACAACATCTAGGAGAACTACAATGCCCAGTCGGTGTGCTTCATCAACCATAGAGCGTAGCTCCTCCGGAGTGCCAAAGCGACTGAAAAATTAGAGATGGAAATAATTAATCGGGAGAAGTTAACAAAGTTTTACATGAATTCCACACAATTAAAACGTGATTTATCCAATTAATTTTCCATAAGTACTGAATTGTATGGAACGATTAAGCTTTATAATATAAAAATAGTTTAAAAATCAAGGACTATAGTGCTCGAACAAACCGGTACAATGCACAATAAATCGACCAAAAGGAACTATGTGGTAACAGTGGAGTCTGTTCAACGTATTTGCGTATTGCCGAAAGCTGCGACAGTAGTCCTAAAAAATGATGTCAGTAGGGTGTACTCCATTACGTCGAGGTAAAACGTAGGACGAAGTTTAAAAATTCTGAATAAAACTATGTAATTAATCTCTTTTCTCTATATCATTAGAAAACATTCAAGAGCAGTGCTATGCATGATTTTTATATGAATGTATACCTACCAGGCAAATTAAAGTTACTACTTTCAAGTATCAAATGACTGCTTCGATAGGAGATCCATATTTCACTTAGAAATACTGGAACTGCTTATTAGCGTTCGGTATGCGTAGTCATGTTGGCTATTATTTAGAGCATTAACACCTAGCTTTTATAATAATTTCAGTCGTTTAATCATAATTTCATTGACACAGAAGAAGTAGCATATAGGTTCTAAAGAAATTGATCAAAAATGAAAGGTTAAAGAGGTCAGTTTCATATATACGACAAAAAAATTGGATCTGAAATGTATATTATTATTTTAGTGACATTTTGAAACAGCTTATACGAAAATAGGTCATATCCGCTTAGGTAAAATGAAAGTTTACTTATCAGCTTTGGTTTGACTTTTTTTTCCTTTTAATTCTAGATTAACACGCTAAGTAATGACCATAATACGGTAAAACTTAGTGTTAAGGCGGATTAATTTTAGAGAATGAAGTATTTTCAGATATAGATTTTAATAAAATAATATATAACCTTAATACGGCAGCGTATCCCTATGTTTCTGACTTGCCACCGAATGCAGTAGAATGGATAGGTATGGAAAGTCCCATCTACTTCTTGAAATGTTCTTGTACGTTCACATGTTTATAGTCTTTGCCAGAAAAGTGCTATATACTGCCTTTATGTGGTAAATGAATGTTTATGAAAATGAGAAAACTGATGTTCTGCGCTTGAATTAGGTTATTGGATACAGAGGATTTGCCTATAGAAGTTAGGAAATCCTTCGTGTTTTTGATGGAGTTTTGTTCTCTGAGCTGGATGGTTTGGTCGTGGAGCTTTCATCGTTCTTCTGAACGACATCATCAGCACAAACTTCAGATAGAAGTCCTTCGTGTCGATTAGCTCTAATTTATCTAGTGGCGTACAGACCTACTTCGGTCACTGCTCCTTCGGGACGACATTTCCTGACACCTGTCGCCTTGTGGACTGGATCTAAGACAGGAAACTCGAAGAATGATTCCCCAAGAGTACTCCGCACTTCGCAATGAGCTTTAGTTCGAACACAAACACAAATATGATGATTATTTATGAAGGAAATGTTTTTTTAATATTGTGATATCACTGTAACCACAAGCTTGGAAGTAACTACACTTCGATTGCTTTATGAATTATGAGTCAATTACAGACTGCAATGGTCACTTGTATAGTCAAAATAGGTGATCTGTTAAAACACTCAGTAGTAGTGCCAAGTGTTCGATGGAGATTGATCAGATACATGACTATACACAATCGTGATAGTTCCCTGTACCGTCCAACTTATTCCCAAACAGGTTTCTAGGTGTTTACCGTGTATTGCACGCATCCTCGCTTTATTACGGTTAAAGAATATATTTAAGAAGAAGCAGGAATCTAAATACAGCAGTACAAATTAAAAAGCATGACGTGAGAATGATAATGTAATTGCAGTGACGTTGGTTCAAATAAGGTATTATTCCGTCAAAATCATAATAATGACGCAGGCGTCATAACCTAATAAAAATACATCAGTTTTTCTTATCATAACATATCTTACTATACATGTTCCTAACTATTAAAACAAAGTATAATCAAATAAATTAGGTTGATCTAACCATTAAGCGTTGAGGACACTATCCAGATGCAAAAGCGATTAAGATACATGAGAAATACACGAAGTATGAGGACTTTAGATTAATGGAAGATTAAAACAGAAATACCACGTAATAATAGTGAACAGTGTAAAACTGAATATAACCAAAAACGTCCAGACAACAAATATATTAGGTAGGGATAACTCTTGATAATAGATGTTTGCAACATGTAGTTTAAGTAAATAACCTTGAAGCTTCATAAGTCTATTGACATGATAATGCAATTAAAGCAACTAAAGAGACTAAATTTAAGTTAAAAGCTCTACTTTCTTGAGTTAACTAGTAAATTATGATGAAACAATTCCCAGTTAATTAATCATAAACAATGTAAGACTTGTTTGGATTGAATGTCAACAAAGTACTACTATTTTAAATACTAATAAGTCTTAAAACCATATAACCCCACTGCCAGGGAAAACCTATTTACTGTCTTCTCGTGGTGGGTGTGTTGTTTACGAACTTGAGAGGACGAAGAGCAAACGTCCTGCACTTTGACCGGATTGGTGGGTATGGAGGATCTACCTAGGGTAGTTGGGAAATTTTGATACCAAACCTGTGGTGAAGATGGACTCCAGGATCCTAAGAAAGCAAATGGTGTATGAACCTATTGTTGGCCACCGGCTAAGGGATTGCGTCTTTTAAAGTTGCTCTATTGTCTTGTTGATTAGACCTTGAGGTCAAAGACTCCGAGTGCGATCCCCTATGAAAACTACCTGCTTCGGTTTGGGCACCCGAGCAATACCTCAGCCTTCACATAAATCGAACGACTTATGTGGCGCATATCTATTCGGTGTCTCCTTGTACCGATGTCTATGTGTTCAGATAAATAATAAATAAACAAACCCCAGTAAAAGCACTTTTTAGTTAGAGTTCATTTGAATGACTTTTAATCTATGTATAGTGACCCGAATGTGTTTTAAAAACTAGTCGAGAAAAGTTAATCCACAAATAGACGTTTCAAACGCATACTTATTAACCAGTAAGTAAATTACATCTTTTCGGTAGAAAAGTTGGGAAAAATTTCTATCAAATGTGTAAATGGAAACTTGGGAATATATCATGTTTAGATTGTCACGTCAGTAACAACGTAGAACTTTGTACGTACGTACATTAGTTTGAGTTGCCATACAAATTATTTATACAAAGAGAGTTATCAAGAATATCTATGAAAAACAAAGCACTTGATTTTCCTTGTTGCATCAGTCATTTACGTTATAATTACTAGCTCTAGTAGGCTAACTGCCAACAAGAACCCATAATTCGAGGACAAATTCATTTAGAAATTGCGAGAAAACACCATACAAGATATCGCACAACATATAAAATACTGATTAATAAAAATAAAACCATAATAAAAACTGGACCAGTGACTGAAAGAATCGTGACAATAAGCAAAGTGGATAACATTTCAGTAATAATAAAACCAAATGTTACCAAACCAGATATAAAATTTAAGATATTTGACGATAACCACATCATTTACCTTGAGGCAGCAAAGAAGCTAGTCACCTGGTATCCGAACGAAGCATAATAAGCATGTTCCATTAGCGCCATTATCTGAATTGCATTATAACCTACAGAAAAACCAATGTTTTAAGAAGTCTTTCAGACAATTATGCACATACATGGTTACCTAAATATCATGTCCCCAAAAATGGCAGATATACTGTGGGAAATACATTCTAAGCCTTTAAAGGAAAGTGAACTGGTGACTTTATTCCCATCGGAGCAGATAAAATACTAACGTAAAGAGAGGAATGATGTATCCATTATTCTATAGATAAACGACTTACGCATACGAATGCATATGTCTACGGATTAGAATATAGATTAAAAATGAATACAAACGGTACAGTGACTAATTCTCGAAGCCGATGGGATGTTTCACCATCAGATTAGTTGATATTGTGATAAATCTGTCACGTCAGTCAACCGACTACTCCAAGTTTACCTAGGTTTGTTGCTGCCCAACAAACACGCGCATTTTCCAAAAGCTTGGTAACTCTAAATACTAACAATCAACGCTAAGAATAACTGGGGACTTAGTAGAATTATGGTAAAGCTGTTGGCTAAAATATGCATATAGGTAAATTAGTCATCAAACTGCGAATTAATCATACCTAGGTCTTTAATTCGAGGCAGAATATTTTCCTTGAAATGAGAATAAGATGCGACAACCGGTTCAGATGACGAAATGCCAATGTGACACTCGTAAATCCGAAGACTTTCAGGCCGTGGAGGATGTGGATATTTAAGTTGGTATCTCTATTAATAAAGGTATACAGAAAATGAACAACCTCAGAAGGATTGTACAATAATTGGTCATAAATGATATTCCCTTCAAAGCATTTAACATATGGAGCCCATGGACTTAATCTATCCAGTCGACGACCATCTTGAGCGACCACCAAGAGCTACACGATAAGTAAAACAACAAATTATTTATACCTTGATTTTCGAAAGATGCTTTATCACAGGTGAACCATTGGCAGATGGTATTGTTAACTCCCATTTCCCAAAACCAACATTTTTGAAAGGATGAGTGAATTCCTGCCAACCATCTAAAAGCTAAGGCAATAATCTATAACTCACTAAAATCTCCTCTCAAGTACAATTCTTTCGCCCCAGGAGCCCATTCTTTGCAGTATATTGATCCGTCATCACGTACATGAACCCCGAATTCCTTGTAACCTTGGGTAAACTCTTCCAAACCAGAAACATCATTTATCCACTTCATATGGTCTAAAAAGCATTTATATCTAAAACGAATAAGGCGAAATGAGACAACAGTTACCTGCGTTTGATCTCATATTTGAAAGGTTCTAACCAGGGATCTAACTGTAACAGATTCTGTATATTCGGTACATTGACAGCCTCAATTTCTTCCGGTGTGTAAAACATTCTCGAAAATTGCAAGTTAGCAAACTACCACTTCATACATACCGCTTTCACAGTGTAGACAGAACTAACGCCGATTAATGTTCAATATGTATATTTTGAAAAATAGTTTCCATTATTTCAGTAATAAAATAACATATATAAGAGACAAATTTTAAATTCCATTATCGGATGAAATTGATAAATGTTTATTCGTGTCTCCTATTCCATCACTTCGTAGTAATTACGCATGGAACCTCACCATGGTCATTACCGGTCTAAATACCCAGGTAAAACATTAAGGATAGATGAAGATAGATCAAAAGCACCTCGAAGAAAGATGATCGTTTATGAGATATTTGGCAAAAAACATTTAAATTTGTCAAACTCTGATCAGGTAATTAAAGTGTCTTCATATAGAATCGTGATTATATTATAAGTGGTGAAAGTTAGGACTTCCAGAAGCCATAAGGCCAAAACAAGTTCTGACCGACCGTTAAATTATGCAGGTTATAATTGGCTAAACACTTTTACCTCATAATCCATGAACATAATGAATGAAAGCATGTAGATGACCTCACAGTGAACATATTGGACAGTGGTGTGTGGTTTTTGTACGAAATAATAATTTGTACTTGATATCTGTTATATGTTTGATAACTTATAATGAATGCATTAAGAAGAGTTCATAAGACCACAAAATGTATTCTCAGTTTAGCTAGTGACGAGATAAACTGGATTAGAAAGTCTAAAGAATCTCGTTTGTAGCAGTAAATAATACCCCAAAACAAACATTCTCCTGAGTCATCGATATTTATGCTGACATCCCTAGTTTTGCTGGCCAAACCAAGCTGAAGGCGATCGGTCACTCACCGGCATCAGATTATCAATGTGTACGTAATACGACACATCCCTTTCAACCGTTAGTTTATATCAAACGCTCATAGATATATCGCTAGCCTTCCGAAATTATCTCTGAACCACTTTATTTCTGACTTTTGATTTGACTGAGTGGGCATACTTTGATTCTAAGTGTTATGTGCAAAGGCGCTGTCAAGCTCCAAATACCTGTAACATCTTTAAATCAGAGTCATTCAAGCTATTATAGTTTTCCATGCATAACTGTAAAAATAAACTTGTATACTTGTTGGACTGACCTTAAAACCGTCATAATTTTGTGAAGCATGGATGACTTGCAAAAAAACTCAGATGGATAATTCGTATTTAACTTCCATTTCAACAGAAAGGAAACAGTTGAAAGAATGAAACGGTGAAGTGACCTCGAAGAATCATTTCAAGAAAAGAAATTATTCCGATGCCTGTATATTACTGATATTCATCATACGATATGATCTGAAGATGCTGACACAGGTAACTTTTAAGTACAGAATACAGTAGATGAGAAAAGAAGCTATGTAATATTTACTTGGAGCCGTTGATATATCGACTTAGGACTATTATGTCCGAATTTGTAAGATAAGTAAAATTAGTGAAGACAATCTTTTGGTATCTTCTCGAACGATTTATACTATAGTCATACAATTCCTAATTGTTATAAACAAATAGTTAAGTAAAAATTCGAATGGAAAAATTTCTAAATATTTATCTGAATGATTAAATTAATCGACTTGTATAGAAGCAAAAAAAATCGAAGGATAGCAAGGCTGAATGGAAACAACTAGGTTGTAGTAGTGGTTATGGGTTAGTATCAATCTGTATCACCTAGGTGAACGGTCAGGATATACTTTATTGAGCCTTGATAAACTGTCCAAATTTCAGCTTCCTATCGTCTAACAGAAATGATTCGGTTTACTGTATGAGTTAGTTACATTTTATAGGCCCTGCCACAGAAATCCAGCTCTTTCCTCATTTAAATGATATATGTAACTACCCTGAAACTATCTTCACTAGACAATGTTTTATAATAATATTCATACTCATTGGAACGTATAGTAACTGTATGGAGAATATACTACTCCGGCGTTGTACTGTGTTGAAAAACTCAAAATTCCACCAGACAGGTCTAATCTCTATTGTGCTGCAATCCAGGGTGTAACCTAATCAACGAGTATCGAATATTCATAAGTTGTTAGAGTTATTGAATGGGACTAAATGACAGGTTGATATCTAGACAGATAAACCGTTATGTAGACTGTAAATGAGGCCGTTGTGTCAGTGCTAGTCGGATGTCTAAATGTATTGAAACTTCAAGCTAAGTTTGTTATCATCTGTTGTTTGACAGGTGATATTATAGGAGACACTTAACAAAGAAACAATATTCTTATTACTATCATTAATTGTGGAACATTTCTAGTGATTCAGTACTAATCATATAGTTTTTACTCAAGCATTGTGGTTCGCGGTTGTTGTAATCGGTTCCGTGTCGAGCGGTTCTACTCCTTTGACATCAATAGGTTGTAGGAGGCTCAAAGATATCGTCTCCTGAACTTGTTATGTTGACCATGTTTTACTGGTTAATTTCAAAGATAAAAAGACGGGCAAATGTTGCCTGAAAGGACACCCAAGTGGTATTCCATGTGTATGCGAGCCAACTATGATTGATAAGACCAACGTGAGATTTGTGTGGTTAGTCAATATCAGTCAAATGCATGTAAGCGTTCACCGTTCAATAGGGCAAAATAGGGCATATCTTAAAATAAGGGAGTATGCAAATTTGAATCATATCGATATTTTTAGCCTCCAAGCCGTTTAGTTTCAATTGTTCTGCGAATCCACCCAGAGTGTTTTATTTAGAAGTATTGTATGTCCTCCTTGAACTTTTCTCACGGATTTATACATTTTAACTTCTGTTCTTAAATCGTGTAGACACCTTTATTTTTCTCAATTTATATTAACTAAGTCTTCATTGTTTGATTCTGGTCAACGTTTGCATTTATTATTTCATTTTTCTTCCGTATGATCTCGATTCCTCCATATAGCTTGCAAAACGTTTTTGAGCCACTCATATCAAATATCATCGCAGCGCAAACTATGCCTAATTTAATCGATTCAAATGTGGGATTACGAATTATAAAATCTTTAGAACTTTGTAGCTTATGCCCTACCGACAAAGGTTACCAGAAATAGTATACTATGCAGCGAAATATATGGTTTACATATCGTTATTTGAGGGCCAGTAAAAATATTCCTGAAAAATGGGATTAAATATCTATCTTCAAGGGTCCGAATGACCATTCCTAGCAAGAATTCAAAATCACCATTTCACGCCGTAATTTTGAGATTCATCAAACACGACTTTATCTTCCAATACAAAAAATATTTAGATGTTAAAGGTAGGTCTCAAATAAAATTAAACAATAAAGGCTCGCGACAACTTGTGTTAACTGGTTGAGTGACTGCAAACATCTAAGTAAGTATCGGAAAATTATGACCCAAGTATTCACTCAATTCCTTAGTTTGCATAAGCACTATAATTCTTATTACTTTATAGTGAGTGTAACGACCGAACTACCAGTATTCAGTTTGAACGCAAGACTGACGAACCAAAAAGTATTCGAATAGGCCAGACTACGATCTTCCGTATAGCACGTCAAGCGTTTTGAGACACTTGTATTGAATTATATCAAAACACAAATTCTGTGCTCAATTTATACGGTTATAATTTAAAAAATAGAACGAATTATATCAAAAATACAAAATACCTCAAACGGTACAGCCTGTGCTATACAGTCAGAAGTTTCTCTAACGCAAAGTGGTGCGCTAAACAACAAAAGAAACAGTCAATACCAAAGGATTTGATACCTGAGAATCCACAAATATATTCCCAACAAACGGGATCAAATATCTATCTTCAGGGATTCCAGAAATCCTCTCAAGCAGACAGTCAAAAGGTTAACAGTCACACATTAAATCACGCCGTGACCATGAGCTTTGTCAAACACGACCTCACTGTCAATAGTCCGGCAACATGCAATAAAAATTAGGTAGCAAAAAGATAAGTTTTTAATCAAAATCACATAATAAAAGCTCAAACGAGATCTGAACAAAGGTTAAAATATATGACAGGGAGAAGAAACAAATAAATGAAAATACTGTCCAACAAAAATGGCTGTGGGGGGATTTTCATCGTTCTCTTTGCGTTGAAAAGCTTTGTGTGTTTGAAAAAGTAACGTCACGCTGCATTGTGTGCCATCTCATGATCTAATTAAAGACCTATTCACTATTAGTCTGGTTTCTAATATCAGTAGATTGAGGGTTACCTATCGGTGCGAAAGGTTTAAAAATAGACTAAGAAATATAAAAGGTGGTTACTAGAATACCAAGAAAGTAATATAGGCAGAAGAACAAAGAAATAACAGTATTGTCACATAAAGCACATTCGATGGATAACCAGATTATCACTTCTGTTTCATGGATTCTTAAACTGTCAACAAATGTAAATAAACAATATATTTATTTATAACAATCAACCCAATGCTCAATTTGTTCGAAATTATCAAATCAAACCTTTGTAATGATACCTACTGTCAACAAATGTATTTATAAATCCTTATCTACTGTACCATGTTTTATTTTGTACCAGACAAGCTTTTGTACGTGTCCTACGTGAGAGTCGTTGTTGAGATCTCATGTACTTTTCAATGAAATTTGTTTTCGCAACATAACACAGTGTAAATCGGGTACCATGAATTGCTCTATGAAGCTTTGTATTTTATAAAGAATAAGGCAGTGGTTTGACTTGATGGAATGAATCTTGCTTTGTTGGATTAACTTTTAGACCTGGACCAAATGTTTGGGTTTTGTCCGCGCCCGTTTTCACTATATTTAAAAATTCAAACAACATCCATGAGTGGCTACTAAAATACTTGCATTTGTCAGTTACCTTTATGCTTGTTTTAATTTTCTCTCCACAACTAAGGCACTTAAGATGTTCTGTACTTCATTATCTTTATAAGCAACCTTATCAGATTTTCGGTTTCCATTGATCTCAAATATGAGGCCATAAATCTAAATCGGACTTTGACAATCATATTACAATGAACACCTCGTCGAAGTATAATATG